CGGTCAATTTTGTTAAATTAATGTATATTTACATATACATATATAGTGTATTCCAAGTGCTATACAAATAGTAACTCATTTGATCCTATGACTGCTATATAATAGGTAGTGTAACTAGCAGCATTTTACTTATGATCAAACTGAGGCACAAAGGAGTAACTTTCCCAAAGTTTCACAAGCTGTCATCTGATAGAAGTGGGATTTAAATTGAAGGAGTTGGTGTGCCATTTGAAAATATCATATTGGCATATTGATTATTCAAGGTGAAATCACTTGAGAAACTGTAACTTTAGAAAGGGCCGTTTGACCTGTCTTTACATTCAGCAAGCCATACTGTTTCCTGGAGGGATGTCCTTCACATACCAAGGATGGAAAATAACCTTGATCACCAGACATTGGTAATTGAGACTACCAATAAACCTGAATAAACAGACTTGCTGATGTAAGACTTCTACTATAGTAGCTTCTCTATCCTTCCACATATATATTTTAGTAACATCCCCACAATTTATTGCCCTGGTTGAAATACGTTTGTCTCTTCATTCCTGCACAAATTTATAATTATCTAAGACAGAAGTCCCCCAACCTTCTTGTCACCAGGGATCAGTTTCACGGAAGACAATTTTTCCACAGATGAGTCACTGTGCTAGCATCTTCTCAGATCACCGTGGTTAATCAGGCATTAGATTCTCATAACCAGTACACAACCTACATTCTTTGCATGTGTGTAGGGTTCATGTTACTGTGAAAATTTAATATCGCTGCTGATCTGACATGAGACAGCTTTGGTGGTAATGCCAGCCATAAAGAGTGGCTGTAAATACAAACAAAGACCGATTCTCTTGACCACCACTCACATCCTGCTGTGTGGGCTGATTCCTAACAGACTATGGACAGTACAGGTCTCTGGCTAGGGATTGTGGACTACTGATCTAAAAAATATAAAGGAATGGTACATTGGTCATTTCTTAAAACTTCACTTTTCTTTGAAACTCCTCATATACATGTAAAATTAATAGAAATGTTATGTTTTTTGGTTAATCAGCTCTTGTATTAATGGTGCCTAGATCCAATCAGAGTCCACATGAGTACTAAGGTGGTATACTATAGATAAGTATAGAAGTACAAGTGTATTTTGTTTCCCTAGATAAGCAACCACAGGAAGAAGGGAGTTGTACAAAGACTGACTCTTCCGTATAATTTTGGTAATGTGAGAACATGCAGCATTGTGTAGTAAGAAAAACTACCAGTGGTAGCCACTTTGGAAATGATTTGCTTCTTATTTTCTATTATGTTAAGAACATATGGCCGGACATGGTGGTACACATCTGTAATCCTAGCACTTGGGAGGCAGAGGCAGGAGGATTTCTGTGAGTTTGAGGCCGCCTGAGCTACATGATGAGTTCAAAAGTCAGCCTTAAACTACATAGCAAAACCCTGTCTCAAAAAAAAAAAAAAAAGAATGTTCACAAGCTATTATTGCTATTATTTTATCTAATCCTCACAGATAAAATAAGAGCACTAGGTTATATGCCATCAGACACAAGACAGATATACCCTCAATCCTCACGAAGATTAAGTTTGAAACTGGGTATGGTTGTACATGCCTATAGTCCCAGCATTAGGGAGGCTGATGCAGGAGGATCTTGAGTTGGAGGACAGCTTGAATTACATAACAAGACACTGTGTCCAGTAAATAAATAAATAACAAAAAATTAGGTTTTACTGTCTTATACCAAATTTTTTATCTATTCTGGAAAGAATATTTCTAAAATTCTAGACTATACATACTGTCCTCTGTGAAGAGTTTAAAATAAGCCATTTTATAGACCAGATTTAATAAGAAAAGAAGGGCAGTAATTCATCTTTTTGGATGTTCCTTTGGATATCCTTTATATATAAGGAAACTAACATAGTTTACTGGTCAAGTAACCTGCTCAAAGAAAACAAAAATGAGTTAGTGCTGGAGTGGAATTACATCTTATCTCTTTTGCAGGCAGCCTAGAATACAAATGAAAGTGTTAAAAAAAAAAAAAAAAGAGAAAACTGGGAGGGGTAAACAAACCAAACAACATTTTGTTCCTTTTTAAATATGTGATACATTCAGAAAGTTTATGTTTGTTTTGATTATTCTGATTTTACTAGTGTATTTGTCAAAACAATATGAATCTGGTATTTTTACATTGTGCTGTGCATTCTTTGACATGTATCAGTTAAACAAAGATTTGTAGAACCTTTGCTGCCCTATAAAATCAGCAAAGTTGGCACGAGAGCTTTTAAGGAGTCTCGACTTTGTTATTTGAGCCTGTCTTTTACAAAGTTGAAATGGGAAATTCTGGGCCACTCAATTAATTAAAATCATATTCATAATATTGATAGTGCCAAATAGAGTGGTGTAAAGTGAACAGTTTAAGCTTTCAGACAGAAAAATCTGGGTCCATGTTCTGGTTTTTCCACTGTCTTAGTTACTTTTTTCTTGTTGCTGAGACTAAATACCTGACGCCCAGAATTAAGGAAGGAAAGGTTTATTTAGCTCACAGCCTGTGGAGGTTTCAGTCTATACTCAGCTGGCTCCAAGGCAGGGTGGGACATGGCAGAGGGCAACCATTCATGGGTGGAAGATAGCATAAGCAACAAGAGCAAAAGAAGGAGTGGAGGCAAGCAGCCTCTTTCCCTCCCTTACATTGTAATGCAAACTACCCACCCCAGGGTAGGTGTAGCACTCACATCCATAATTCTAACATTGCACCATAAATCAATCATAAACTCTAAAAGCCCTCCCTATGACTGCATGTGTCTTTAGGGAGACAACCAGACACAAACCATGACATCCACTATTTGTGACCTCTGTATAAATTACTTGGTTTCCCTTGGCCTTAATTTCCCAAAGTGTGAAGTTATATGAATTAAATAATTCATGAAAATCACATAGGATTTGTATAATAGGCATTCAGTAACTATAACTTTACTGCCCACCCCTTCACAAGATTGTTATTTTTGTCTTAATAACTATCAAATTTGGCTACAAGAAATTTAATGAGTTCCTATTACATGCAAAGCATTCTAGGAGGTATGAAGATAAAATCTGTACCTTATCTTCAGGAAGTTGTGTAAGGCAAGATAGGCATGTGACAAAGTAATTATGTAAAATAATTAAAGATAAATAAATTTTATAGTATGAAGGTAGTAATACTGAAAGTTCTTAATCAATTTTCTGCCCTGTGACAGAGTAACAGTTCAGAAATGAAGACAGGGAGGTGGCTTTTAAATTAACAAGATGTGTGATTTGTGTTATGCCAACTTTGACTTGGTAGTAGGACATAAATGTCAGGGATGTTGAACAGCAGTCAAAACAAAGAGTGTGAATTCAGTATAAAGGTGGCAGTCAAAGCCACATCTTCAAACAGAAATAGAAAATGTAGACAAGAAACCAAAGAAGATAAATAATGTGTTGAGGCCCATGCAACTCTCAAACTTCCTGGGCTGAGGACTGTGAAAGGCAGCAAAGAGGTGAAAGAATGAGGATACAGAAAGCTTGGATCAGGTGGAGCCCTCCCTCAGGATAGGAGGAAAGGAACTACTCAACTACCATAGCATTTATTTCTAAATTTCATAGGTTGGTGTCATGTGACACCCCTCTGCCTAGTAACCCATTGCTTGGATTACCTTGGGTATTTGGTGTTCTCTGGTCTGGAGTAGCTTGTTCACGTGACTCACCTCAGGTGCTCTTTGTTCTCTGACCAGTCTTGCTCCAGCCCCTCATGTGCAATCATTCTCCAGCTTCAACTGCTCCCCGCAATAAGTTATAAAGCACAGAAGAAAATAAAAAAAGAGGCTGTTGAAC